CTTTCCCTCCCAGTCCTCGCAGACCCTTATTTTGGGAATACTACTTCAAGCACGTCCTGAGCTCTTTCTGAAAGCGTACTCAGCCCTTTCCTTCCTGGCTTTCAAAAGATGCTTAGGACGTTTTTATTCTTTATCACAGTCGAGCTGCTTCGAGTGAGGTGATACCTTTTCTTAGATCAGTTAATACAGGTTGGATAAGTGGACAGGCTTTTAGGCACAAGGCTGGGCACGTATGTTAATAACTCTAGATAGCGGGATTACTGGCTCATTACTGTGAGGTTGTGGAGAAGGAAGGAATGTGTAGAGCTCCTTTTTGATAACAGTTGAGCTTCTGAACAGCCTAAGAGCATGAAGTCTGTTGTAGATTCTCACATATCTGATGTGGCGAAGGTTTTTGTTGGCTAGTGCTCCGGTGACCTGCTTTGACTGCAGGAGGCAGGCCAGCAAAACCAGCACGGACGCCAAGCACGACCTCTCCTTAGGAGCCCACAGGAGCGAAGAGCTCAGGTCCTAAGTCACCTTCTCAGTAGAAACACACAGACTTCAAAGTTCAGGGCTGTGCTGGAGCCCAACTTTGTTTTTAGGAGAGTGCTTAGTTGGCACCCATTAGTGGTGGAGCTGTCAATACAAACAGTAATTACGCTCCTTTCTCAGAGAGGCAGCGCTGGGGTCAGCATTTCTGCGGTTCGCCACCCCCATCCCCTCCTGCAGCAGTCTGAAATGGGGTTGTGGGCGCAGGAGGTCGTGACTGGAGCCCCCGTGGGCCGTCCTCTGCTCCATGACTGTGATTTCACACGTACGTGCCCAGCCTTCGAGCTGCCTGACCTGCCTGTTTCACGTGGGGTGGCAGGGGTGAGGCGGTGGTACGTCAGCTATGATTTAGGGAGGGTTTTAATTTCTTTCTGTTTTTTCTGTTCTGTTTTTCTTTTCCTTGAAGGTCTCCAAGTTGCCAAATCTCCGCTCCCTAAGTCAGCTACTCCTTCTTGACATCATAGAGTCGTTAGCTAACCACATATCAGACAAGCAGTGCGCAGAGCTGGGCTCAGACATATGACACGCTTTGGTAATCGAACTTTTCATTTGTTCCTCAAAAAAAGTAGCACTTTACGGCTGACTCTCTTTTTTACCATTCCATACTGAGCTGCTCAGAGTGCCTACACAATATAGCAGGCGGCCAAGAGGAGCACGGACGGCCGACTTGCTCTCCCATGGATTTGCTTGGTTTGTACCTTTGGGGAGAAGGGTTTGGTCTCTCTTACGCAAATGTAAAATTGAAACCATTACAGGAATTAGTTTATTCCACGTGGTTTTGGGAGTAACGAAGTTCAGAACCAAGCCCATTATTACTTTTATACTGTAAAATAAAGCAGTCATGAGTAAGAGAGTCACTAATGCTTTGAAACACAATATTTAAAGAATGCTATTTAAAGCACTTCAGCTGACACAGCCAGGGGCTGTAAGTGGAAGTCAGATATAACAAAACTGGAAACAGAGAGCGTTTTCACAGTGAGGCTGATCGTTGGACCAGAATGTAGTGACTTTTCAGAGACGCTCTGTGGCGTGGATTAAAAGAGAAGCCCTTTTGCAACTGCCTCGATGGCCGGGCTGCAGGAAGCCCAGACCTGTGCTCTGCAGCAGGTCAGACTAGAAGATGACAGCGGTCCCTTCTGACCATCAAATCCATTAATCCTGTCTTGCTAAGCCTTTCTAAATCAATTTATTAATAAAGAGTTAACATCTTCTCCTGGCATTTCATGATTGAGTTGGCTTTCATTTTGGAAAAAATTAAGCAAAAAGAGCTCTGAGCTTGATGAAGGTCACTTTGTTAAAAATAAGTGTGCTACATCTCGTTACTAATTTTATGCTGAAGCATCTTCCTCAGTCGTTGCCTTTGCAGGAAGGTGAATGAAGGCAGAGCGCCCTTCCCAGCTGGTTCAGAAGCAGCTGCCGTTCCCTCCCGGCTGCAGCTCCCCAGCTCCCCGCCGTGCTGGATGCTTCCCACGCCGCAGAGGGGAGAGGAGCTTTACCTCTCCCCGGCTGCTGAATGATGCAGCTTGGTTGGGGAGCGTCGGCGAACAGCTGGCGTTGGTGAACCATCTGCAGGCAGAGCTGCTCCCCAGCCCGAGAGCCAGCAAGGCAGCCCAGAGGAGGGAGCGACACGCAAGCCGAGAATCCAAACCTCGTCCTGCCTTAGGCGGCACCAGCTCGCAGAGGTGAAGCAGAAGGCGGCGCTGGCGTGGTGCTGCTCTCTGCTTGGCTTTTTGGAATGGCAAGAGTTGGCTTGAGCTGGAGCGGTGGCAGATCCCTCCTGGGGAGCGCAGCTGCCCAGCCCCTGCGTTTCCACCCCTGCGGCCCGAATTTTTAATGCAGGCCTGTGAAGTGGTCCCGGTGCAGTACGAGGTGTGAGCTCCTGTTCAGCGCCCTGTAGTGTGGCACGCACGTGCGTGCCTCGGTGTGCTGAGGGCGTTGCGGTCTCTGTGCAATGCAGAATGCGTCATTTCATGTAATCCAAGGGAAATGCTTTAGAGACCGCTCGATCTCTCCCAGCTGACGGCTCGCTGAGGTGAGGCAGACCAGAGGTGGCAGATGCACCTGGGAGCCCAGGGAGTGCTTCCAGATGCCTCATAGGTAACGAAGTCTCGTCAGCGGTCGTGTTAATTGTACCGATGGGCTGCATGTTCCCTGGGAAACCAGATCTGCAAGTGGAGGAAGGTTATCCACTGCAACGTGTAAGAATACTACAAGTTATTTTCAGCAATGCTGAATCCACTAGAGGACACCCATTGCCCAAACATGCGCAGCCTGGTTCCCTCGGTAAGGAAGACCAGGCTGATTTCAACCGTGCCATAACCAGCCCCTTTGACTCCATTTTCTCAAACTCTTCGGGGTTTGGAGCTTACTGCTGAGCCCATCAGCGAGGAAATGTGCTGCCTCTGCACCCTCTGAGCCGGGGCGCTGCGGGCGGCTGTGCTTCGGAGGTGGTTTTTAGTCCCGGCTCTAGTGACTGTAGTGCTCGGTCAGAGCTGCATTACATCGGTGGGGTTTATTGTCTGAAAAATTGCGGTCAACGGCGCTGTTACATCATCGTTGTGATTTGCCCCGCGCTGCTGTTGTGCAGGGTGCTGGGACCGTTGCACCCCTCTGAGAGAGGAGCCGGGGACCTGCCCCATGGGCAAGGCTGCCGCCTTCGGCCTGAGCCGTTCCCCCGCACCTGGGAGCGCAGGGGGGCTGCGGCGGGTCCCCGCGGGGTGGCCCTGCGGGGCTGGGGCTCAGGAGAAGGAGGCAGGGGAAGAGCCGGGGCTGGTGAGGGGGAATGGGCCAGCCTTCCCGTAGGGGCAGGCGGACGCGCGGCCCCGCCAGCCCCACAGGCGCCCCTGGGTTTCCGAAGGGCTCTCGGGACGGGAGGTCCGGCAGGAGCAGCTGGTGTTGGAGGAGCTGGGCCAGCAACGGGCTTGGTTCGTGCTTCCTAAGGCAATCGAGAGTCCTTTTGAGCCGGTGGCCTCAGGAGCCTTTATGGCCAGCAGGTTCCCGGGGTTGCTGGTGTTAGTGCAGCCTTGGGGCAGTTTTGTACTGGAATGTTGGGGAGCGCGCTCATACTTCTGCATTTGATAAGGAGTAAGTAACGGCGTGGCTGTCTAGCTTTGTCTTAGTCCTGCGGTCTCCACCATATGCAGGCCACACTGGCTCTTTAAAGCCCTCAAGTCCTGCTTTACTTGTGTCATTGTCCACACGCTGGGATTTATCCCAGCAAACTGCAAAGAGCAGGTCCCAGCTAAGCACGGGGCACCACCTCCGTCCCCGTTTGGGCTTGTGGCGTTTGCTGTCAGCACGCAGCTGCTGGCCGGAGCAGGGAATCGCTTTCCCGAGGGAACATGCCTAGCTAAAAGGCTGTCAGGCTGCGCAGGGGCAGAGACCCCCACCCATCACCCTGCTCTTTGGAAATCTGCTGTTGTCACGCCTGGGGTGTTAGCTCCAGGTTTATGAGAGGCTCTTGGCCCCCAACGGCTGCTCCCGCCGGGGCCGTGCAGCGAGGCCGGGCGCCTCCTCCCCCTGCCTGCACAGAGCCGGGGGCGGGAGCCCAGGCGATGCTGCCGGTTTGGTGGCAGCTCTCCCGTGGGGCTTGGTGGGCTGCCTGCCCCTCTGCAGGGCCCTGTCCCCCCGGGGAGGCACCGCTGGTGGGAGAGCGGGATGCACCCCTACCCCCGACCGAGCCCCGGCGTGGTGGGGGTCCAGACACCTTGGTGTGCGAAGAGGGAGAAGCACCCAGGGGTGCTGAAGTCAAGAGGCCCCAATTTTGCCACTCCGCGCCCACCACAGGGCCTGCAGGGCCCCCCCAGGACCAGCTCCCCCCGTCCCCGCTGCCATGTGCGACCAGTCACAGCTTGGCCGGAGCCCAGCAAGGACCAGACCCCGCTGCGGATCAGGACCTCCTTCAGCTGCCCTGGGCTCGTCCCTCCTGTGCCACCACCAGAAGCCGCCAGCCTCCCGGAGCGACCTGCACATCCCGGCCAGGGCTGGCAGGGTCCCCTCCTGGGGCACCAGTCTGGTTCCCGGGCAGGAGTCATGCTAAGGCTGCCCAGGGGTTGCTGGGAGCAGGAAAAGCACAAAAAGAGAAAAACTACGTATTTTAATAAGGAAACGTGTAGTGAGGGAGAGCGCGCTGAGGTCCTGCCAGAGGGAAAGCCCACGGAGGGAGCGGGGCCCAGGCTGCACTAGTCCTCCGCCACCTCCAAGCCCAGGATCTTCTTGACGTAGCTCTGGACGGTGACATGGAGCTGGGGGGCCGTAGCTGAGAAGGTCTCCATGGCCAGGGCCCGGGCTGACTCCGAGCCGCCCCACATGGCACGGTAGAGGGGCAGGGTGTACTTCTGCTTCCCCTGCAGGGACAGAGCGGGGGTTACCCCCAGCCTCCTCCCCGGCTCCGGCGGGGTGAAGCCCCCCAGGGCCCACCACCTCCAGCATCGCCCTGCTCGTGGCCAGGGAGAGAGCGCAGAGGAAAGGGACAGGGTGGAAAACGCTGCCCTTGGCATTGCAGTGCTTGGAGAGGGGAGACGACCTTGACCTTAGAGAAGGAGCAGGCCCAGGAGAAGCTCAGGTTCAGCAAGGCCAAGTGCAAGGTCCTGCACCTGGGTCAGGGCAACCCCCATTGTCGGTACAGACCGGGGGATGATGGATGGAGCGCAGCCCTGCAGAGGAGGACTGGGGGCTACCGGTGGGTGACAACTTGGACATGAGCCGGCAATGCGTGCTCACAGCCCAGAAAGCCAAGCGTCTCCTGGGCTGCATCCCCCGCAGCGTGGGCAGCGGGGCGAGGGAGGGGATTCTGCCCCTCTGCTCCGCTCTGGGGAGACCCCCCTGGAGCCCTGCGTCCAGCTCGGGGGTCCTCAGCACGGGAAGGACATGGAGCTGTGGGAGCGGGGCCAGAGGAGGCCATGGAAATGCTCCGAGGGTGGCACAGCTCTGCTGTGAGGACAGGCTGAGAGCTGGGGGTGTTCCGCCTGGAGAGGAGGAGGCTGCGGGGAGACCTGATTGTGGCTTTTCCATGTATAAAGGGAGATTGTAAGAAAGACTGAGAGAGACTTTTTACCAAGGACAGGACGGGGGCAGCAGTTTCAAACTGAAGGAGGGTAGGGTTAGATTGGAGATAAGGAAGAAATGTTGTACACTGAGGGTGGTGAGATGCTGAACAGGTTGCCCAGAGAGGTGGGAGATGCCCCATCCCTGGACACATCCAAGGCCAGGCTGGACGGGGCTGTGAGCAACCTGATCTGGTGGAAGGTGTCCCTGCTCACTGCAGGGGGTTTGGACTGGATGGGCTTTGAAGGTCCCTTCCAACCCAAGCCATTCTGTGGGTCTATCAAAAGCAAGCGTCAACCCCCGGCCCTCTGGCATAGAGGGTGCTGCGCCCCGCGCCCGTGGCACGCTGCCGGGCGCAGCCGCCGCCGCC